GGTGAGTTTATGGATGTTTATTCCATTATTAAAAATAACTAATTAAAAAAAGTTAACATAAAAGCAGGCTGGGCACAGACCATGATGGAAATATCTCATAAACCAATGATGCTGTTTAATACAATTCTACACACCTGAGGTCCAACAGAAAACAAAACAAACACATGGCTGTTTAAAGGGATGGGTTGAAGTCTGGATTTTGTCGTGTGCCTGTTTTTTGCTTTTTTAGTAGTTTTGAGTTTTTTCCTCATTCATCTATCTTCAGCACCAATAGTCTCCATTTCAGTAGCAAGGTTCTCTCACGCAGGTTATCTTTGCTCACAGTGGCTCGAGCATCAGCAATCTGGTTACCCCTTTGCCTTAGGGCAAAAAGTAGATCACGGCCAGCTTTGGTGAAGTGGAGGATGCATTAGCAATTTGACATGGCAGGTGCTGAGAGTAAGCAACAATCCTGTCCAAATGGGTTGGAGTTATACACCGGGCATTCAGGGGCAGGAAGGGAGACCGTCAGTGAGGCCACCTCAACCATACAATGGGGAGCTCAGATTCAGAATTTCCTGCTTTGAAGATGTGGCAGCTTTTATTTTGGCATTGTCCATTCATCATTCACCTGGCCCTTGGCAAGATGCTTTTAGGCTGGTGCTAGGCCTCCAAGGACTCAGAACACAGAGTTGGTGCCTTTTCTGGATCACACACTGTGCTAAGTGCTGTGTGAGGGGTTTCTCTTTTAACCCTCACAGCACTCCTCCTCTGTTGCTTCCTCTGGATAGCTCTGGTCATACCCTAGTATGATTGTCAAATGTGCACGCAATTATTTGTGTGACTGAGAGACAATGGCTATAATGCAAAGGGAAATGGGCTTTGGACTTAGAAACCAGACTGTTTCTAAGAAACCAGGTCCCTGCTGTAAGGCATTGACTCTCTGTTTAATTTCACCTCTATAAGGTTTCTCATCTATTTGTTCTTTTTATTTATTTATTTATATATTTGCAGTACTGGGGTTTGAACTCATGGCCTCACACTTGCTAGGCAGCTCTACCACTTCACCACTTGAGCCACTCCGCCAGCACCTCATCAATGGGCATTACAACCCTTACAAGACTGTGTGAAAGTTAAATGAGGTAATTCACAACAAACATTCTGTCTTCTGTCACACAGTACATGTTCAGTAAATGGTCTCTATTATGATTTTTCTTAAGAGGTTAGGATCTGTAAGTTATTTGTTTTTATATCTCCACAGGGCCCAGTATTGGATGACGTGTTCATTACCTGTGTGTTGAATGAATGAACGAGAATGAGTTTCATGTTATATCACTCTCCAAAGACTTCCTTCTTCTGTTTTTCATGCTAGGCATCGAACCTAGGGCCTCCTGCATGCTAAGCATGGGTTCTACCACCAAGCCCCATGACCAGCCCTAAAGGCTTCTTTCTTGTCAACTCATAGCAGCTCTGGGATAGGTCTTCCTTTATGCACACCCACACCTCTGCCCAGTATTTAACTGGGAGGGAGGGGAGGGATGGGGGAGAGGAAAGAGTCGTCTTTCTTCTGTTGCTTGCCAAAAGCAAGAAGCACCACCAAGCACAGATTTCCTCCGCTGCTCTCCAGGTGCTTCTTGAATGGTCCTCAGAAGGTGGCTGGCTCCCGATGCCCCTTATTTACTGGATCAGCCTTGACAAAGGCAAGAATTAGGCCCTGACTGGCACCATCTGTGAGACAGCAAGGCCCTGTGATCAGGGGCAAAGAGAGACTACCATTCCTGTCTTTATTGCCCAGTTTGCTTCCTAAACCCCCAGGCCTGGTATTTCCTTTTGGTAGTAATGGAAATATGCTCTGAGGATGAGGAAAGGGGAGACGGGAGTGTAGATAAGCACCCCCATTCCAACACACACTGTGTAATTCTATACCCCCAGCAGGTCCTGATGAGCTGACTTAAAAAAAATTATTTTGTCGATGCATAATATTTGTACATATTGATAGGGTACAGTGTGGTGTTTTTATACATTTATACATTATGTAATCATCAAATAAGGGTAATTAAACACTCATCATACCTTTGCTGTGACAGCATTCAAAAGCCTGTCTTCCAGCTCTGAAATGTATAGGGTTTTATTGTCAGCTCACCTCTCTGCCTCTGTATCCCCTCCTACTCTTGCCTCATAAGTCCCTTCCCTTACTGTTACTCAGGTGAACAAGCACGTTCTGGTTTGGCCCAAGATTGTGGACAGCACCCGAAGCCAAGTGACAGGATGTTCAAATGTTGCTTTTGCTACTTAATAGCTGTGAGACTGTAGACGGGTCACTTTTGCTCTTGGGACCTCAGGATCCTCATTGGTAACATGAAGCACCATCATGCACCTCAAAAGCCTGGCGTGAGAGCTAGCAACCATGTGTGTACATATGAGATCTTCCCAAAATTCTCTGTAATAACTACTCCACACATTCAGGGAGGAGAGATGCGAAAAGCCTGGTGCATCCCAGGCCCAGATTTGTTTGTGCTAAAAAATAAATATTTTTTTCATTTCCTTAGCTTGGTTAGCAGAGTGGAGAGACCCTGGCAGACCCCAGAAGCCCTCACTTGAGCTGGTATTACCGAAGGCCCCTGTGGACTCTGTGTACACGGTGCAGTTCAAGAGGCAAACAAAACATGGGAAGGTACTTGGAATTAACAATGGGCCAGATGGTAATGCTAGTTTGAAGCAATAAAACATGATAAATAGCTTCCTGCTGCTACTCCTGATCAATTTCAATATTTAATAATTCCACTGCCACCCCCACCCCCTCATCTGGCCCCTCCACAGGAGCCTGTGACAACGTCCCGCATTCAGCTCACAGAGCAAACACTTCTTCACTTTCTGAAGGCGTCAGCAAAAAGTGATGCCGCTCAACTGTCACATGAGCTTGCTCAGTCCTCGAAATGATAATTAATCTGCCTGCTTGTTCTACAGGCTCTCCATCTCACGCCTCCCCTGTTGCCAGGGGAGGCTGTAGCTGTAAGAGAGCTGCCAACTGCAGAGATGCGACAGGAACGCTCACCTTGTTGATCCAATGACTGCTGGAATTCTCTGACTTTTGCTTTTGAGTTAAAGAAAGTGGAGCATCAGGGAGCTCTGTGGTCATCTTACTCCAGGACCAATTAGTAAGGGAAAGCAATCTAGAAGGGGAGCCCAGGTGGGTTGGTATTTGAGTCTTATTCCCCAGCCATGCCTCTGAGCCTCAGTTTCCTTCTCAGAACTATAAACATAATCATGTCTGTCTCCAGGAGAATTTTAGCCAGTGCTATGCATGTGATATGCCTGGCAGTGTACTTGGTGTGTAGGAAATGGACAGCTAGCAGCTGGTAGCATCATTACCAAACAGTGGTACCCAAAGCAAAGGGTTTCTGAGCATCAGTGCCCTGCAGAAAGGGCCTGCTGTGTTCCCATGATCAGGGTTTCTAGTCCACATGAGCATGGGGCAGGATCTGCCAGGGGCAGCACCTTCAGTCAGACAGTCTTCCCCTAGTATTCTCCCCAAGTGATGTCCACAAATAAGATCAGCAGCTCCAGAAGCTGAGTATTGGGAGGATGACAGTTTAGACCAAACCTGGGCAAAAGTTCTCAAGACAACATGTCAATCAATAAAATGGGATGCATGTCTGTCATCCCAGTTACATGGGAAGTGTAAATAGGAGGCTCAAGGTCCAGACTGGCCTGGGCATAAATGACTCTATTGGAAAATAAGGAAATAATAAAGATCTGGGGAGCATGGCTCAACTGGTAGAGCACCTGTCTAGCAAGCAAGAGAACTTGAGTTCAAACCCCACTACCACGAAAAAAAAAAGAAAGAAAAGTAAATGCCTTACAAAGGCAGTGAGGACCCCAAAAGCTTTGAGGTCTCCACTGGCACATGAGACCTCAGGGCCACCTCAGAGAACAGGTGTGTTGGTGTCATTTAACAGATAAGAGAACAAGATTAGGAGTTGGCAAGACTTTTAAGCTGACATTGGCAGGAAATGGCAGTCACTTCCAATCTGGATCTCTCAACTTCTCTATGACGTCCTCCCCACTCCCTTCCTCTGTATGTCACTTTCACAGGGAAGCAGCAGCAGAGAGGGGAGCAGGATGCAAGGGTGCTATAGGCTCACGGTCACTGTGTGAGCTGGGTCACCTGAGCTGCAGTTTACTCATCTGTGAAATGAGGTTCATAGCCTCTGCACTGGATCATGGGGACACTTAAAGATAGACTAAGCATGAAAGGACTTTGCAGTTCTGTGATGAGGTTTATAAATGTCAGCTATGGTTATTATGCCTTTTTAGAAAAACACCTTCTGAGGAAAAAGATCAGAAACACATTCACCCAAAGGTGGATTCTCCTAATTGACTCCTTCACCATGGCATTCATAATCAAGGTCAAATTCTTTGGTGTGGCATTCAGCACTTCCCACAACCCATCCCCACCCTTTCTGCCTGCTGATTTTGGTCCAGCCCATCTGAACTAGTTGGGGTGGACTGGGCTCATGACTTCTCACGTGTCCATCTACACCCTGTTTACCAGCTTATCCTGTAGACCCTTCTCCAAAAATCCTTGGCTGTCTCTAGGCAGGTACAAGGAACTGCCTGATAGTGTCTGTTTGCTTCTCTCCACATCCCAGCCCACATTCCACTATGCCAGTGCCATTTACTCATGTGCCTCCACTTTACAGAGAGTTCCTCCCAGGCAAGAACCGAGTACTTCTCACTCCAGTCTACCCAATGTCTGGCCAGCGTGTGTGCAGCCAACGTGTGTCAAGGGAGTCTCCCCAATACAGAGAGAGTCAAAGCCAAAAGATGCTAATGGGGAATTAGAATTTGAAGGGCACAGTTCCCTGGAACTTAAATGCCACTCCATTTCTGGGATGAACAGGATCATCTTCCTCCTTTCCCTATAACGAGAAGGAACAGAAGACGAGTGTGCTGCCCTCCTCCCTTGAACGTGTGTGTTTCGGTGCCACAAGGGTACTGTCTAGGCACTTATTAGGTACCTGAGTCCCGCTGGTCCAGGGTCATGGAGTTCCACCTCCTGGTAATGTCGATGTAGAGAATGTCCACGGCAGCCATGGACAGACTGCTGCTGCTCAGCTTGCAGTTCCTGCCAAAATGGAGAGGCAGACATGTCACCTCCAGATGGAAGTCTGCCCTGTTCTCTCTTTCTTCTTTCAGGCCTGTGCGGACTGAAAGTTTGTGTCCCCCTAAAATGCATAGGTTGAATTCCTTTCTCCCAAGGGTGATGTATTATGAGGTGGAGCTCTTGGGGTGGATTAGGTCATGTGGGTGAACTCTCATAGATGGGACACAAGAGAGATATTGCTTGCTCTGCCTGCTCTCCACTATGTGAAGATCCATGGAGAGGGCAGCCATTAGTAAGCTCTCTTCAGGCTCCCATTTCCTGGCACCTTGACTTTGACCTCCCAGCCTCCTGACTGTGAAAAATCAATGTTCCTTGTTTTCGTTGCTCAGTCTCTGCTATGTTTTGGCTGAGATGATGTCTTTGTTCTGGCCATGCCCCTGGCCCAGCTGCTACTGAAGGTTGGCAGGGAACATAGGAGAAGAGGCTGGAAACATGGGCTGGGGTCAGAGGCTGTGGGTTCCCATAAGTTCAGTCATGGGGTTACTTAGGAGATAATGGGCTGGAAAGAGCAACGACGTCAGAATGGCAAGTCTTGAGCTGAACTCTGGCTCTATCACTGAGAAGCAAATGCCCAGGTCACTGATTTACCCTCCTTGTCTGTGAAGCCAGGCTTTAGTGTCAGTGGGACCTCACACAGCTATGAGGCCCTGCCCACTCTGAAAGGGAAATGAGAACTCCATATTTCAAACACTATTCCATGCTTGTGTCTCCACCCTCCTATTGATCAGTTCCTGGGCATGTGCACTGCCCTCACTGCCAGCATCCAGATGGATGCCAGTGTCATGCTCAAATGACCCAATGATGACAGCCCCTCAGAGGAACAGGCTCGAGCAACAGATGCTCAGGGATGAGTCCCTAAGGCCACTCTATAGACAGGAGCTCAACGTTTCTATTCTTTACCTGTCTTAATTTGTCACCTGAAGATTTAACATAAGCCCAAAATCAGCCACAGGAAGGCTCAGATTTATAGAGCAGAGCAGCACAAGCTGGGCCACACCCCTTTGTGTGGGCTGAGCTAGCATCATGAGGGAAGCTCCTTGATGGGATGCTGGTTCCTAACTTTCCAGGAGTCACCTGGCAACATCAGGAGGAGGGAGGGTCCCTCTGAGCTTCAGATGTTTCTCTTGCGACGTGCAGGGAAGCCAAAGCAACCAGGTTTTTAGTCTGATATCAGTCATGGTGCTCCCTGTCCAAGCCACAGAGGGGGATTTAAAATCCTCTCCTGCTTTTATTTGGTCTGGAAATGTGGGTGGGAGGGGGAGGCAGAGTGTGAGCTGGGTATCAGGCAAGCAGGATTTAAATCTTGGTTCTGATGTCTCCTTTAGCTGTGTGACTATCGTCCATTTTCTTAAACCTCTCCCCCCACCCCATGCCTTTATGAGAGTTGTTGAGGGAGTGAGAGCTGGTCGACATCCCCATGGTGCTTGGTACCTGGCAGACCCACAGCACTGATTAGTCCCCTTCCAGATAAGCTGTTAGTGAGTGACACTGCCCATTTGGAGCAATGGAGCACATAGTCAGAGTTTGGGTTCAAGGGCTTAGGCTCTCCGTGCAGACTGAAGTAGCCCTTGGCTTGTCCAGGGCACCACCCTCCTGGACAGGATTGCATTTGCCCAGGAATTCTGAGAGTGAGTCTGGGCAAGCTGTCAGGCTGGCTGAACTATATCCACTGCTGCTTCCAACTTTTCAAACATATCACATCCACAGCCCCAGAGAATGATAAACTGGTTCTTTGATTTCCCATTTGTCATCATCCCTTGTGTGAACAGCTACCTTAGGAACCAGACAGGTGAGGTGTTGATTGGCAAGCAGGACTAGGCACCCAGAGGCCACTCTCCGAAACCAGACACACCCCTAGTGATGGTGGTGTGCCCAGTACAGTGCCTGGATAAGGCTGGTGCTTCTCACATACTGGTTCACCTGCTTGCCCCGCTTCTCCCTTCCTTTCCTCTTGCCCAGCCACATTCTCCAGGCCATCAATTCTCATCTCGCTTCCTCCTGGGCTCCTGCTCTATACTTCAATCACAAGTCACCATGGCAGACTTCAAAGCACATCAGCACACTATTATTGAGCCCTGGTAACAACATGTCAGTGGACGCCAAGCTTTTCACGTCACCTGTCATCAAGATGGCTATCTCTATTGGATTCTGCTGGGATGATGCGCCTGTCTCTCTGGAGGCAGCTGAACAACCTGCGGTGCTAATTTCCAAAGCTTCATTAGGAAAGGACCACAGGATTTCTCTAATTATTATATTTGTGTCCTTCGGACTACCTGCTCCCTTGATGGACTGAGCGATGTCTGGCTTGCTCTGTGGGTTAATGGAGTATAAGAAGGAAAACCAAACTGATCACTGGCATATAGTCATTTTTTTTCTGACAGCAAGAAAATAGAAGTGCCAAACCTTTAGCAGATGCCGTAATTTACCAGAAAGAATTCTCCATTTATTCCTTTTCCAAGGTAGTGATGCCGGCGAACACAGTTGATGGTAACTTCTGCACCAGGACCAAGGAAAGAGGCTCTCTGATGACTGCTGGAGATAAGGAAATGCCTCAAAAGAATTTTGATTCCATAGGTATTTTTGGGGCACTACCTATATGTCAGGCCCATTCACGTCTATGATCTCTCAGAATCTATGAGGCAGTTATTTCCAGTCCCATTTCAATGAAGTGTAAGCTGAGGCACAGGGGAACAGACACGATTCACCCTAGATTACACAGCTAGGATCTATACCCACTTCTGCATGAAGACAGAGGAGTGGGTTTGGGAGCTGTGGGGAGGTGGGCTGCAGGAGGCACCCGAGAATCTAGATGCAAAGTCTCAGGCCAGGGACAATAAGGTCAGAGCCTTCAGAGTGCTTCTGTTAGGAAGCTTGGGGACCTGGAGACAGGTTCTCCCATATTTGTCCCTGTGGTCACCAAACATTCTCAAGGGACTCAGACAGAGGATGACTCTAAGGATCAAGATGTCAAGACTTTGCAATGATTTTTTCTCATCCATTCATCTACTCCACACAGAATTATTTTTTTTGCCCTGCACTATGCCAATATTCTGGGCCCTGTGAGCAAAGCAGAGCCAAATGTGCCAGGGGTATAGGTGATCTCATAGTCTGGGGAAAAACATGAAGGTTGGGTAGCTCCTGATCATGCAGAATGGTTTCCTTTCTTGCCCTGGGATGCAGTTCTTCAAATGACTCATAAGTGGTAGGATAAATTCTTCATTGGAAGAGAAACCCAAGAAACATGGTACATGAGAAGCCAGACAATTTCCTAGCAAAGGGTAGACTACAAGTGAACTTAGAAAACATGAGCTTTGGCGTCAAATGCCCAGGAATTTGAATCTTGTGAATCTGTGACCTTGAGCAAGTCATTGGAGCCTTCCTCATTTGTGAGAGTAGGGCTACTCACCAGACAAGGCCCTTTTAAGAATGCTCAGTGCCTGGCACCTACACGGAAGTGCCAAATGACAGTTCATATCCTTTCTCTATGATGTAGAGCCAGTTTGAAGAAATGATTTTTTGTTCATTTGTTTGGGTTTTTTGTTTGTTTGTTTTTCAAAGTTGAAGGAATTTGGACACAGGTGATGGGAGAGAATCACAAATCATTCAAGTTCATTAGGAGGCTGAATATAGAAAGATTTGAAATGATCCTCCCAATTTCCTCTTAACAACTGCTGACATCTCATGGGAAATTCAAGAACCAACTTTTCCACTCCATAAAATCCTACTTATAGAATTTCTTTTGTGTTCATCCATCCTTCTCTGTGCAAAAAAGAAGCGTGTTTTATTCTTTTTTAACCTCGAGCGGTTTTTATACGGTACCAGCTAACAAATAATCATATTTATTTAAAAAACAAAGATAAAAACACATACTAAACACCTAGTGAAGGTGGGGGAGCGGACATGGCAACTCTGGTTTAAAATGTATGCCTTTTTAAAGGTCATGAATATCCCAGGCGGAGAATCCCATGGTACTGGAAAGGGCTGGTCATGGAAGAGATTTCCAAAGTCATGGAGGAGTTAATGACAGAGGGAGAAGCAAGGCTCCTTATACTTCTATTCTAGAACATTCTAATGCACCACATTGTCTCTCAGAGAATAAAACCCCCTACAGCTACCCATTATGGAATCATATTAATATCTCCTTACGATAAAAGGGAATAGAAGGGAAAAAGAGGAAGAGAAAAAAATCCTCTAATTCAAAAGGATACCCATTATTAGAAGCCACAAGGACGATGAACAGAGATTTCAAAGAGGAACTGACCCATGTGGAGCCAAGGCTTGAGGCGCAAGGGAGCGGCTGCATTTCCTAGGAATAAACCTGGCTTGGGCAAACAGTTGAAGCCCTGGCTGCTGTCCGTGAAAGGGCAGAATATGCAAATGGATGTCAACTTGTGATGTCTGATGGTTTGGGAAAAGTGTCCTCAGTGAATCATATTGGATGCTCCCAAATTTGTAATCCAATAAAAGGAAAAATAACAAAAATGCACTTCCCACAAAGAAAGCTGTCAAACTAAAGATTCAATTAGATCATTTGTATTTCCCAAAGAAAGAGAAGCCTCCCCACCCCTGCAATTACTATAAGATCAATTTTTTTAAAAAAAGAAAAAAAAAAAAGGCACTAATTCATGGTAATATGTGCTACTATTACAAGCCTCCTGAGGAAATGACATGAAAAACTGGTTAGGTAGACTACGTCTAGACAAGAGAACGATGGTTCATTATTTCTCATTTCTTGGTGAAAAGGAGAAATAGAAGCTGGCCAGGCTGGCATTAGCATAATTCACTCTGAAAACTGCTGATCTATGTGGCACGTTATGGGGGATGGACACTGAGAATAAATTCAATTGGACTGTTTATTATTTTCTTCCTTCTCATTCTCTTCAAGGAACTTGGAAAGAAAGAGTGGGTAGTACACATGAAACCCAAGTTCAACTTCTGCCATTTGCTGGGGAGCTATGAAAGGTGCATGTACCTCATGAGCAAATATGTCTTTTTCAAAGTGCTCCTGAGAAGGGGCACTTGGTTCAATTTAACATATGGCATAAACATTAATTCATAATAAAGCAAAATTTAAACCAAAGTGGAAAGGAGGAAGAGAGAAAAAGAATAGTGTTAGCAAGAGCAAGACTGAGTGCACTCAGTAAATTTTAAGCAGTGAGTATCATTTTCCATTATGAAGTTCCTGTGGGGATCCTTGGGATATTTTAGAAGGAAAAGTCCGTGAATAGTTGTGCAATATTCTGTCTACTTCTTCCTGCATCCTTAATTAGGTGTCATTTGCTGGGTGGGGAGGGAGGCTCATTGTCTGCTCCAGCTGCTCCAGCTGCCTGTTCTCTACCTGAAGTCATCCTTCTCCACCCTCATGGTCACCATATCTCCCACTGACAGCTTCAGTCACAGATTGGGAATGATGGCTGCAGGACCTAATTGTCTCTAACATCACAAAAATCGGTTTCTCATGCAAATGCCCTTAACTATAAAGAACAAAGGGATAGAAAATCAGAAAGCCTATCATATAGAGACAGATTTGTGGGGACATTTTTGACATCACCCAGTTCCAGTCCTAGAGCTTATTTTAAGGAATCTTAAAATTTACCCGGACCATGTGCAATTCTGTTTTCTCTTCAGGATTGTGTGAAAATGTACTAGGTGGGTGACTAGGTACCAAACTCACCCATTCATGGCCTCTGTGGACAGTCATGCTTAGACTAAGCCTGTACAGCAGCTAAAATGATTTTTTTCAATAGCCAGCCTTTATATACATGTGCTGAGATTTTACATAAAAATCAATGGGTTTAGCTTGCTTTTGAAAAACCCAAAGTGCTTCCCTTTGACAGTGTGTGCATGCTTCAGCTTCCTCAGACCCCCTTCTCAGACTTCTTTATGCAGTCCACTAAGCTTATGCCTCTTGCCCGTACCCACCGCCATTCGCCCCATCCCTGTAGGCAATCAAGTGTGATTTCCTGCCTCTTTCTTCTATGCTTCAGTAGAATTTTACTAGGAGTAAAAAGGAAGCATTCTACCCTGCTTCTACAGTGCCCAAGTGCCTCATGGCCACTCAGCCTGGATGATACACCTTTCCTGACCTCTAGACCTGGGCCATGCACGCAGTTCGTTTTCAGGTTCTCCATGTCTCCTGGATTGTGTTTCCCTTTACTGCCTGGCAAATTCCCATTTTTGGCAGTCCAAACCCTGCCTCCTATGGCTGGGGGTTCCTCCGTCAATTCCACCAGGCAGACAGAGCCTCCCCAGTTTTACTTCCAGGGCTCTGATCACAGTCCCATTGAGGAGACCTCTGGTCACTGCTCCAAACTCTGCCAAAGGATGGCACAGAACTGTGTTTATGGTGTGGTTTGTGTTAGACTGGGAGTGCCCTCTGGGGCAGTGAGGGCTCTGTTATTTTTCTGGGAATATCCTGTGGTTATTAGATACTCAGAAAGAGGTGGAGATGGGAGACCTTACAGAGCCTGCATTCCCTGCAGCTCCCAAGATGTTGTTCACATGAACCCAACCCAACTCTCTGATCTTGAGATTTCTGTGCAATGGAGCAGAGGCTGGGGAGGGTTCAGAAAGTACTTGCTTTTGTTCAAGAAGGTCTGGGTTCATGGTTGGGTCATGCAAGAGAAGCACCTCAGGTTGCTTTCGAGGTCACTGAGGTGACAGGTTGACTTGGGTCCCTGTGTGCTGCCACAGTGCCTCAAGGGCCCTCAGGACCAGGGCCCATTGTCACTAAACTGTTTCTCTGTTCCAAAGCCCAAAAATCACAAAGGGGAGGGACTGCCTACCTATGTGCTCTCTTCCTCCTCTTTTCCACCATGATGGGACTGCAGTAGACACAGTTAGAAAAATTCTATTTCCCAGCTTCCCATGTAACTGGCAGTGGCCAGTAAGATAGAAGTGGAAGTCGTTGGATCTGGCTTCCGGGAAAGCTTTTAAAGGGGTTTGAGTCATCTGGGTAAGACCTTTGCAGTTCCTTCCTTTTCCTTCTTCTTGCCTAGAACTCTATTAAGATAGCTGGATTTTGAGAAGTCATTTTGTGACCATAAGGCAACTCTGAAACTGGAAGCACATACTTAGGACGGATGGGTAGAAAGATAGACAACGGGACAGTTGATCATATTGTGGAATCATTAACCAGCCCTAGAACCCCTGTTGCCAAGTTTCCTGTTATATGAGAGAAAATTATTCTCACATTTTAAGCCATTTGTATCTTATTAATGAGAACCAAATGCAGTTCTGAAGTGAGTCACGGACTATTGTGCTCCATAGTATTTTCTGGGCAAATCATAACATAACATGTACCCACTGACTTGCTTGAAAATTCCCATTGCTTAATGCATAGATCAGCCATAGACCCCCATTTAATAAGCAGCTCCCATGAACTAAACCTTGAGCAGGTGAGTTATGTTGTATCCCATTCCCTCATAACAACCATGCGCAAGGCAAGAATGAGTTTCCCCATTTTGCAGATAAGGGAATAGAGACTGAGAGGAAACAAGGCATTTGCCTGAAGCCACCCAGCAATGAAGTAATACAACTTAATCCCCGAGCCAGACCTGTCTGAGCCCAAAGCCTGTGTCTCTGTCTTCCCTTATCCCAAACCCTCCCGCCCCTGAAATTAGCACAAAACTCTTTCTCAAATCACCCTGAAAATACATCTTCAGGTTTATATAGAAGGCAGAAATTCCTGCCAGTACTTCTGCTTACCAGTACTTCTACCAGTACCAGAAGGCTAGAGTTAGAATCCACAAACTTTATTTGCAGAAAAGCCTTAGCCGGAAATGCTAACTCAATTATTTGCTTTAGTAAATAAAACTGGGAAAAGTGTGACTTTGAGGTGCAAGGTAGAAATATTAAAAACCAATGACAAGAAAAATGACAGCAACATTGAGGGTTGGCGGAGACTCTTCTTTGAGGAATATACACTACAATTAACTGCTAATCAGCAACTCCCTGTTGGAGCCAATTCACAGTTGTTGAAGGGATCTAGAGTCATTCAGTTTGGCCTATTTTGTCTTAGACCTGTGCAAGTGTGACTTTTACCTCTCTCTCTCTCTCTCTCTCTCTCATGAACTTCTTTAAACATTGTAGGAAGAAACTAACAATAGTTTGCTTACCACGTATTAGATGTGCCATCCTAACTAATGTTATTATTATTTTTTGGTAAGACTGGGATTTGAACTCAGGGCTTTGTGCTTGCAAAGCAGGCACTCTACCACTTGAGCCCCACCTCCAGTCCTAATGTAACTAATCTTACACACACAATCCCATTTACAGGAGAAAGTCACTGAGGTTCAGGGATGGACATGAACGTATCTCAGTAAATGTTTCTGTATTGCCCCAAAGTGCCCCACGGGGAAGAGGCAAATTAATAAATAATCTGGGGAAACCAAGAAGCAATTGCTTACTTTGCAGGCTGCTGCAAAAATACTACTTCTTTGTTACTTCATGTTTTATCTTTAAAATACATGCAAATTTCGTATTATACTCTACAATATAACCATGTTATTTTTATATTAGAACAAATGTGTTACATTATTGATCAGCTGAATTATTTAACTTTTCTCTCTTGAAACTGACACTTTGGAAAGCGGTGCCTTGCTGCTCTGCCGTGGCTTTGTAAATGCTCAACCCCAGCCTGGCACCACTGGGCAAACTCCAGACTGTTTGATTCCAAGGGCCATTGGTTAATATGTGTTTAAGGACCTGGCTCAAGGAAGCTGCTTGCAGGGTGGATAAGGTTTGAGTACATCCCGCAAGGATTTATGCGTTGGAGACGTGGTCATCAGTGTGGCGGAGCTGAGGCTATAGGATCAGAGGTGGGACCTAGTGGGAGTTCCTTAGACCATTGGGGCCATGCCTTTGGAAGGTAGCAATCCTTCTGGGTCCCCAGGTGGTTCCTGGGAGAGCGAGTTGTTATAAGAATGAGCCTAATTCCTGAATTGTTCTCTGGCTTCCTTTCTGAATATGAGCTCTTCCTCCTACCATGACACCACCTGCCATTAAGCCCTCACCAGAGACCAAACCAATGGGGCTGCCTGATCTTGGACTTCAAATCTTTAAAACCATGAGCTAAGTAAAGCTCTTTTTCTTACAGAGTTACTCAGCTTCAGGTATTTTGTTATGGTATGTAATGACACACAGACTAAAACAGTAGCACACAATTGTTTTTTTTAACCATGAACCTAAGGTTGTGAATGCTGTCACATCAATTCAACAAACAAGAGTCTATTATGTGCCAGGCCAGTGCCAGCCTTGAGACCAATCCATCTTTAAATGGGGGTACTGATCTAGTACTACAGTCTCCCCAAAACAGTCAGGGAGATTCAAGCACCCAGATGAGGGACTGGATTCTACCCTGCCCAAAGCCAAGTCAGAGGAGGTTGGTTTCACTCACCGTATGAAGGTACGAAAGCCAGTTGGTCCCAACTTCATTGTACCCTTGATTCCCAGGAACCGGATAAATAAATTTGCCATCCTGTCCACCAAGCGCAGGTAGTTGAACTGCTTTGCATACTTGGGGAACACCTGCTTGAGGCAGATGGAGGGCAGGTGGGCCTCGGGGTTGGCATCTGATACACCAGTCAGCTCACTGTCCAGATCTTCCTTCCCTGCTGCTGGTTTTCCGAGTTGCTGAGACCTGAAGTACACAAGGCATTCATTTATTTTAATTATTTTTTTTCAGGGAGCTAGGGATTGAACTCAGGATCTTGTGCATGCTAGGCAAGTACTCTGCCACTGAAATATACCCCACCCCTGAAATAAGAGGGTTTTTGCTTTTTTGATGGGATTGGAGTTTGAACCCAGGACCTCATTCTTGCTAGCCAGGTACTCTAGTACTTGAGCAACTCTGCCAGCCCTAGGAATTCATATATGGTACTTTCTCTTGTGTGCTCTTCACTTGAGATTTATAGTGATCTCAGGGGGTGGGCATTATTTTAATATTTATTTTACAGATCAGAAAACTGACCTCAGAGAAGTGACCTGCGTAGGCTCGCACAGTGCATAGCAGAGCTAGGATGTGAACCCAGGGCAGAGCCAGGACTGGAAGCATATGTTTTCTCCATTCTACCAGCCTGTTCCCCCAATATGGGAAAGTTCCTTTACTGTACTCATGATTCAAGAGAATACTACACTATGGAGCAGACTGGGTTTGATTTCAAACTCCTACTTGTGGGTAGTAATTGAATAATTAAGAAATATAAAAAAATCTCATTGAGGGCTGGCAAAAAGCCATAGGCACAGTTCAGTGAACAATTTGCAAAGATGCATCAGTTACCCAATTCTAGGAATAGGAACAATTACATTTCCTGGCTTAACTGTTTTCTTATTTGGAACACATACAAAAAAAAAGGATTGCAGTGTTGTGATTCCTTAGTCTGGATATTTTATTCTGAAATTATTCTGATAGTCAAGAAAATTACCACCTAATAACTCTCAAACCTCCACCTCTACCCTGAAATGTTCTTCTTATCTCCAGACCCACCTATCACTTTCTCCTCACCCCAAGTCTGTGTCCCCTGAGTGTCCCCACCACCTGCTGGTTACCTAAGCAGGAAAAATCAGAGTAAATTCTAACCTCTCTCCTTTCTCTGCATTCTACTTTCTTAGTCCTGAAACCAACTCCCCTGATCTGTCCTGTCTGGGCTGACTAGAGTGCCAGGTCCTCCTGCATCCAGCTTTGCCCATCCCATCTGTCTTCCATGATGACCTCATTTAAGGCCCTGGTAGGGCCACTACTTGCTAACACTCTCTAGGACCCCCGAGTCTATAATCCTCATTCTGGCACTCAGGGCCCCTCCTGAGTTCTTCGAAGACCTCTTCATTTCCATCCCTGCCTGGTCAAGGACAACATTCCCTTCTGGGCCTTGAACACCACCCCTCCACCTTGCTGCCTGCCCATTGGCCAAGTCTGGACACTTAACACCTCTTTTTTCACTTGCAGCTCTGCTCCTTTCCCTGGCTGCTCTCCTGCCCAAAGCTGAGGCCAGAGGAGGCTCTCTGCCACCTGTTGTGTCCATTCCTGTGCAGAGTCCTGAGCATGTTAGACGTGGTCAGTAAACCCCACCCAACTGATAAGCTGATCCACAGAAATTAGAATCACGTCTCATGGTACTGAGCTCAATACCAAGGCTATTGGCTACACATCTCTTTATGAAATGGCCTCGTGTCAGTGCCCCCACTTCTAAGCAAACATGCCATCAGTCCCCAGGTTGGACCACTTTGGTGTCTCCATACCTGGTTACCCCTGGCTCTGACTGCCTGGCATACTCTGTCCCATTTTCAGAGCCCACTGAGATGCCTCTTTGGCCATGCTGATGGCATTCTTCCATGCTCTGCTCTGTTCCTTGGATGTACTCTCCTGTTCCGAGCTCTGCCTGCACCACACTGGTTTCTATCCAGCCTCTCTCATTATTCTGGGAGCATATCGAGGGCCTGGGCCACATCTGACTCAACTGTGATCATCTAGAGGACCTGGTTTGTAGTAAGTGCTTGGAGAATGTGTCACTGAATTTGTTGAATTGGAAAAGTTTGTTTTTAACAGCAATGTGAGCTCCAAAGAAAATATCAAAGTTATGATACTTTGTATCCCATGTGCCCTTATAAATGGGGAAGAAGTTCAAAGGAGAAACACCTTGCTTGACAGCCCTGGCCAAAAGGTCCTCTCCTCATACCAGTGAAAGGAGCCAGCCTCCAGGAGAGAGATCTCCCTAGTGTGAACAAGAAATCCCAGGAGATCTGTTCACAGATCCTTCCAAGTAAGTTTTAACTCTAGTCTCAAAGCAAGGATAGTCAGAGGATAGAATGAAGGAAACAGTGTATGGGGTGGGGGGGGACACAAATGTTCTCTCCTTCACAGGGAGAAACCTGATTTCTTGGGAGAAGCATATGTCCCCATGGGTGTGCAATTTTTCCTTAGCAAATGTTTGTCATCGTCACCTTGAACTTCAGAGAGTAAATAAAAGTCAGGTGGTTACTTTTCAGATGAAGTGTTTTCCCACTCAGGTTATAGGAAGAAAAATGAGAAAAGAAAGTGACACTCTTACCGGAAATTAGCTCTTCAATTACTGGATAAGTGTCAGTTGCTGATATTATTAGCACTAGGAAGTTTTTGTTAAAGGGAAGATCTGGAAAGGTACAGTTTGAACACATCGAGCAACAATGAAAATAGCCCAGAGAACAACGCAATTAACAGACTTGTCTCACTTTTGTGATTGCATTTGCTCTTCACGAAACTCTGTGGCATAGTCTTTGATCATATCCCTGTTTAGATGGGGAAACTAAGGCTCAGCGAGGCATAGCCCTCTTTCTTTTGGCTGATTACGAATCAGTTCTTCTAATCCAGTTCTCTTCCTATTTTACTGTCTCTTATTCAAAAGAACATCGTGATTCACACTGGGGCTACAAAATCCTAAATTCTATACTAGTGCTTATTTTTTATTTTAAAGAGACTTATGATTTTTTAATTTTAAGAGTAATTCTCTTTTTTTTAATTTTAAGAGTAATGTCTCTTTTCAGACATTTTGAGAGATGTATAAAGGAATCAAAATTATTTCCAATCCTGTAATTTGACAATAAACACTGTTAGTGTTTTGATATCTGTATGTACAGTTAGGATAATATTACATGTCCTTTAAACACTTTTTGCATGTCTCAAGCACCTTCCCATGGCATTTATATGTTTTCATGAGCTTGCTTCTAAGGAATGTATAAATATTCTGTATTAAGCCCAAACCATCATGTTAGTAACTCTTCTTTCTCAGATACTTAGTGGCCACACGAACTGTCATTTGCCTGAATAAGCCTGGTGATGAGTTCCTTCTTGGGCAATATGCTTCCTCTCCCAAGCACCAAATGTTACAGCTAGAAGTGGCTCTAGAGGTCATTCTATTCAATGATGTCATTTATTATTTTTTGCCATGTAAAATATACATAAATCTCACCATTTTAATGTGTATAATTCAGTGTAGTCAGGGCATTCACATTGTTGTGTAACCATCACCTCTATCTTGTTCCAGAACACTTCATAACGATGTCATTTTAGAGAAGAAATTGAAACTGAGGTAGACAGGGACATTAGTAACAGTGGGTCATTTAATCAGCATGTCATCCAGGGTGGTAGCCTTAGCTTGGGCTGCCATGGTGATGGGGACCCACCACCTGCAGACCTCTCAGACTGGACAGGTTTTCCCCATGGCATGACAGAGGATGTCTTCCTCCAGAGTCCACCTTCCGTGTCCTTTTCTGCCCCAGAGTTGTGCAGAGTGATTTTGTTTTCTGCATGACAGTGTGACACCCTTCATGTTTCTTTCAAGGATTTCTGTGTCTACTGATGACTAACACTCCCCATTCCCTGAAGCCCGACTGATAGCCTCAAAATGAAAAGGGCCTCCACAGCCACAGCTGCCATTTTCATGGACTCAGAGCCACAGATTCACAGGGAAGTGGTTTTATTTACCTGGAGGAAGCACTAAAGATGTAGCTGATATATAAGAGGAAATAAAGCAATGAGAAATGGTATCTTTGCCAGAGATAATTGCAATTATCACATTGAGATCTAAGCCATTGTAAATACTGTAAAATCCTATTTTTACTTAATAGCATTTTAGTGGAAATGTCAGGCTTATGAAATAAAAGTGACTGGTAAAGAAAATATAAATCAAGCTTACTAGTCTTTTGGGATCATTTTTTAAAAAATTGAATTTGGTATGTCTTTGATTCATTATAACTGGAGAGAAAATCCTGGAATGTTTTATCTATTAACATTTTTCCAAATAAAATGGAGTTCTTTTTTCATTAAAACTCTTACGAAAAATCTCCTATCTCTAATTTTGCCTGGAAAGCTTACTGCTAAAATCACCACTGTTTACTGGGGACCCCCTAAATGTCAAACATCATGCTAAGCAAATGAATAAACAGATGAATAATTTCATTTGTTTCTCATGACAAGTTGACAAGTCTATGAGGTAGGTGGAAATGAGTTCCCTTTTATGGTTGGGAACTTGAGGCTCAGAGATGCTGATTACTTGCCCAAGTTAAGACAATCACCATGGAATCAGGATTTATACCTGGGACCTCACTCCACACCCCATGCTTACCTCACTGTATAGTTCTTTGCATTCATTTGGTTACAATCAAATCAGAGACTTTTCTTATTATGTATAAACTGCCTACATTCCCAGAAATTAACAAAGTAGGAAAAGTAGATGTGGCAAGGTTAGATTCTAGTTTCAGAGTTGTTGAGAAATAGCTACCAACTCTAGGTCAGCATGCCTTCAGTCACTTATCCATTCATGAGACATTCCCCAAGCATCTAGATGTCCCAGAGGCCTTGGGTACAGGGTCCCTACCATACAGAGGCATGTGACCAGGTTGGGGAAGCCAAGCCTATCCTTAAGCGATGACTTGGTGGTGTTAGGACCAGGCAGCCAGCCTAATTTTGCCTTCTTGGATTTGTAGTGGGGGAGCTAAGAGTGTGGTAGATTTTAGGCAAGAAGTGTCAAGATCAGGAACTGTGATGGAGATGAATGAATCTGCCAGCAGCATGAATTCTGAACCAAGAGGAGGAGGGAGGGGAAACTCCTGGAACAGTCTAGAACAAACCATTCTGAAAGTGTGGTCTCTGGACCAGTGCATGAG